GATGTGAAAGCGAGAAAAAAGGAAAAGGAAAAAAGACTCGATAGAGTGTAAGGGAGCAGAGAAACGAAAGAAGAGGCAGAACTAAAAAGAGCACAAAAAATAAAAAAACAGGGAGATAAATGTGCCTGCAAGGTCCAGGTTTTGTAGTTTATAACCACTGGGAAATATTTCATAGGTCCAGAGCAGTTTGGGCAGGAATTGAGAATAAATTTCCTGTTTTTGCCGCAGGTGAAGAAAGACACATACTGACAAATGCCTTACTGCCAACCAGAGCCCCCATGAGCTGGGAGGCCAGTGGCTTATCACTCAGTCTAGCTGCCTTTACCGCTAAAAATATATGTAGGTCACATCATCCATTTAGCTTCATTTAGTAACTGACACAGAAAAACACTGGACAACTTTTGATGCAGTTTAGCAACTGTCTTTTGTTCAGTTTGGCCGATTTGTCACTTCAAATCGATCTGAATGGGATTGTAACTGGACTGCATTTATCTACAGTGTGAAACGGCTCGCCAGCAACAGAGTTTCACTTTAAGCACAAAGATGATGAACAAAGGAGAATAAAAGCCTCCAAGAAAACACAGCAGAGCTCTTGCTACTGCCTTCCCTTGTCTGTGAAGTCTGCCTGCTTGTTTTTTCTCTTGGTGTTTGGCTTTAACAGCAGAGATGCTGAGAAGGAAGTTTTAAGAACATTCAAAACATTGCATATTATGCATGACGTCACGGCTTTCTATGCTTCCGATTGGTTATTTCCCAGCATCCCAGTTAAATGGCGATACACCATTGGTTGAATTTTAAAGCACAAATTGAGAAGACCTCGTTTTTTGTGTGACATGATTGCAAAAATCAAAATAAATCAACGAGAATGGCAGGAATAGAATTGTGGATCTCCACATGTTCATTCTTGGAAATAATTTTACTCGTCCGTTCTGTTTAAAAATGTCTAAAGCAAATTGTTTAAATAGTAATTGAATCCAATTTTAAGCAACTAAAAAAAATCTATTTTGCTTTATTCTGGAATTTAGCAAATAGGAAGAGTTTAGTCTGATTTAATATTAGTCAATATCTGGTTTCAACTGCATATCAGAAAACAGTAAACAAAACATGAAAATTTGTTGCTGTTTTGATTATGATTTTGTGTTTGATGTGTTAGTATTATCACACAAGATTTCTTCCAGAAAACTCATTTTACTGCTCAAACGCATTCCTCACCATGAAAGTGCTGGTTTCCACCAGGATTATTTAAAATGGTGTCTCTGCTAACCCAGAAGTGTCTCAGCTGCTCTGCCATCATCTCGAAAGAGCAGGATGAAGTTTCATCTGGCTGCCATTCCCTGCGAATCGTGCCGTAACTTTAATAAATCTGTGATCCTCACTGGCTGTGCAACAACAAGCACCAGGCAATACGAGTAGATTCTCCCGTTTTTATCTTCCCTGTTCTAAAAACATGAGCAAGTCTGCTGTGAATTAGTTCTCCAGGCCATAGAAAATAGATGTGAGAACATAAGAAATGTGGGAATTGCATGAGAGTATTTTCACTGTCATGCAGAATTTTCACACATGTAATCATCAAAGGGAGCCGTAGCTCTCGCATCTGCAACCGCACAAGATTACACTGAGAGCCACATCATTTTGTTGTCCTCAGAGGGCTCACAGGAGGCTTTTATATTCACATCAGCTTCATCTACAAACACAGGATTAAATAAGAGCTTTATCTAAGTAATTATCTGTGGCTTTTTGACACCAGATCCAGTAAGTTTACCTCAGGGATCAGTGAATCCACAGCGTCTGTCAGGTTGAGTTTTTTTTTATTTTTTTTATTAAACTCTTAATGAAAACAACCGAAAGCCTTTAATACGCAACAGTGCACTTGATACCATCAACAATTATGCTTGTCTTAATTTGTTGTTTCTAATGACAACACCAATCAAAATGGTGTTATGGCTTTTTTAAACAAGTACATAAGATTAAATTATCAGTTGGATCACAGATAAAAACGAAGTAACAAACTTTAGTGTCAATTAGCCAATCAATACCTAATTGCCAACAAAAAACTGAGGAAAGTGAGTTAGAAAAGGCTTAAGTCTGACTTTGATACCTAATCTTAACCTCATGAAGTGGAAATGGGAGATGCAGAGACAATAATTGAAAGCCATTTAAAAGAGAAAATAGAAAAGCCATATTTGAATATTTCATTATGCTAAATCAGGTACCCTAGAGTTAAGATCTGACTCTCTCAAAGCTTCCTTATTTTTAAATTAGAAAATAAAATTGTCAACCTTAATCAAGCTTTCTTCCATCAAGAAGAAACTTTATAATGTAAAGTATGGGATTCAGATAAGGCCATCGAGGTCTTAAACTCCTTTTCTTTTGAAATACAAAAAGACACAAAAGAACTTGCTTCGACTAAATCAGTAAATCCAACTCCATCCCTAATGACAGACAGCTGGTCAAAAGTGAAATAAAATTATTAAATATGTAAAACAAGTGTTTTCCTCAGCGTTACTCTTCATTAGAGCAAGTCATCAGTTCTTGATTTTGTCGAGTCATGTGGCATGGAAAGGCAGGGAGGAAAAATTCTTAAAAATAGTTTTCCTTTAAAGTTCTGACACCTCAGCAAGTTAACTTTGAGTCCTTCTCGGCTGGCCGTTCCCTCAGGTTGGGCGGCGATCAAGGGTGGCCCAACCTTCCCTGCCAAACGAATCCTGCCCTGCTTTCATTAGGCAACTTTTTGCACAGTAGCAGATGGTGAACACACATTCTCTGACGCACACACACACTGGCCCCTGAGAAGCAATCTCGCCTCCTCTCTCAAATTTCCTCAATTTTTCACCCCCACTTTTTCTCATCTGTCTCCTCCTCTTCATCCCGAAGCTGTGAAAACTTCAAAAGTTGCAGATATTTTTAGGTTCCGCTAATTGAAAGTGGAAGAGTTTCGACGAAACATTTTAAGTGAAACAAAAAGGCAACTTTCGTGACATGTCGGCATCTTTAGGCAATGTCATCTACTTTGACCTCTCAAAACTTGGTATGACAAATAATTGACTGGAAAATCAAATATTTAAAAACTTTACCAGTTTTTCACAAAGCAAAAACAAATAAACATGATATGTTAGGCTACAAAGACACAATTTCTAACAGAACTTTTACATTTTTGGAAAGTACTAAACAATGTTTTTGCAACATATGTACCCAGTTCAGCAAGTTTTATTTAGTCAAAAATAGAAATCTCAGTGGTCGGATGCAGAGAACACATTTTATCTGTTCTTTTTGTCATGTTCGGCCAAAATGGAGCGGACACCCAAACGTGTTCAGAATCACTGACAGAGAAAACGAAACATCAGAAACAAAAATACGTGTCCACTCCACTGAACCCCAATGAAAACCAAATATTGATTTCTGAACTTTTCCTGAGTTAAAACATTAGTATTGCTGTTTCTAAATGAATATGAACTTGTTTTCTTTGCATTATTTTAGGTCTGAAAACACTGCACCTTTTCATTATTTTGACCATTTCTCATTTTCTGCAAATAAATACTAAATCTTTGCTTGGAATTTTGGTGACATATTGTCAATAGTTCGTACAATAAAATCATAATGTTCATTTTACTGAAACATATGAAAGGTAAAATAAAAGAAACTGATCATTTCGAAATGGTCTCTCCATTTTGTCCAGAGCTGTATGTGGAGGATGGCGTACGCTGATGAAGACGGCTTGTTATTTACAGTCATTGATCTAACAAAAAGATTTGAAAAAAGCTAAGAAAAGTGACATTATAAAAGGTGATTGTTTTTTGTTTTTTTTGTTTTTTGCAGAAAGGACTTTTTCAAATGTGTGTCTGGTTGAAGCAAAAAAGAGCATCTGTTTCCAGATAGGGTTTATCAGGGTGATTCACCGAAACCCGGCACTGATGATACATTTTGGTGTTAAAAGGTTAAAAATGAGACTTAAGGATCTGCACAGCACACATCTGACGTATCTGCTGAAAGCTGCCGCCACGCAGGTCAGGATAAAACAACCCACGCAGGATGCTATATATGCCAAGCATTTACTCGGTCTCTGGAGAGTTTCTACAGCTGTTTGCTTTGAAGGCAGCTGTGAAACAGAAAATACGAACTTAAGGCATTTCTCTGTTGGACTTTTCTGAAAATTCAAAACATTCAAAAACATGGAGACGCCTCCATGTTTTTGTTTTTTATCTTAGTATATGCAGTCTTTTCCACAGGATTTCATAAAGGTCGGTTCTCTAAATAAACATTGTAGTTATTGAATTCTCCATGTTTTCAATAATCTCATTTTTTGTTGTTGTTTACACTCAGCTTGTTGGAAGAACCTAAGTGGTAAACACAAAAGGCTTAAAGTCAACAAATACATGGCAAACCACGTTCAAAGGCAAACACGCAAAACCCACAGCTGTCACGTGTTACACAGATAATTCAGGATCCTTATAGACAAATTTGTGTAATTTTTGTAAAGCTGCTCAGGCATAGGTATGCAAAAGAGCAGAAGCAAGCATGTGTGAAGTGTCAGCAGCTGCCGAACAGCAGCGGGACAGACAGGAAGAGGGCTGGTATGAAAGCAGCCGGGCAAATGCCATCACCTATTATGGACAAAACCAATGGCACGGCCACACACACACACACCCCCACACACACACACACACACACACACACACACACACACACACACACACACACACACACACACACACACACACACACACATCCCCCCCCCCCACACACACACGCATATACGCACACACACACTAATGTTCGCAAATCCACAGTTCAAACAGCAGACAGGTGGCCTGAAGACTAAATCTATGAGCTACATGATTATTCTCCCAACTTGTACGATATTCATGTTGCCGAGGGCAAACATACAGATTGGCTTCACAAAGACAAAACATGAAATCTGCATGCATGTGCACATGTCAAGCAAAAACACGTCTCCATTCACCCGTTTTAAAACACGAACGCTTACCTTTGTGATAGCTCACCTGCTTGGACTGCAGGGAGAAGGTTCCCATCACCAGACCCATGTTGACTTCTTAGCGTAGTAAAGGCGTGTGTGAGCGTGTGTGTACGACGTAATTAAGGTGTGTTAGTGAGCGCGCACCCGGCAGGTGTGTGTCATCTGTGATTAAGTGAGTCCGTCAGTCGGCTGTATGTGTGGAAGTACAGATGTCACTTCTCATGCTGCCTCACACCCACACAGCTCGGCTGCTTTTGCTCGAGGGTGTGTGAGTGAAAAAGAGAAAGAGAGTGTGTGTGTGTGTGTGTGTGAATGAAATGAGCGGCAGACACGCACTCTGAAGCTACCTTTGTCTGCACAGTCACTGGAGCTGCCTTTCTCTCATGCCTCTGGTCTCTTACTCCTGACAGACTCTCCCTCTCAGAGTAAACCCCTCTTCACCCAGAAACCAGACTGTCATTCTTCCAGCTCCTCCGCGCCTCTTTATGTGTTTGTTCCTCCCTGCCTGCCTGCTCCCCTCCTTCTCTCCTGTTCATCTCAGCCGCTCTGTCTCTGTCTGTCTGGTGGGGAACGAGGGGCTGCACACTGTTGCACGGGGGGGGAAGACGGAGACAGATTGAGGGGAGGGGAAGGGAAAGGAGGGCAAAACTGAGGGGAGAACAAAAGAAAGGGGGAATGAGAAAATGACAATGGAGAAAGAGGAGATGGGGAGCAGGGTGGGAGGGTTGAAGATGAAGCAAAGAGATGGACAGAGATGAGGAGAGCAATAGGTGAAAAGAGATAAAGGAGAGCCAGACGGATCTGTCCCCCTTTGTTATTCAGCGGGCAGACTGACTGTGGAGAGCGTACGTGCAGCTTTATCTCTCCATGCGCGGCTCTGACAGGTGGGGTGAACGTGTGATTACCCCACCAGAGGACAGGGCACCAGCAACATCCCTCTGATGCTGACATGCTGCTGCCGCCGCCGCCGCCGCTGCTGCTGCTCACATGCAAGCGTCTGCATCCACACTTTGCGTCAGACATGCTCCGACTGTTAAGTCTCAATATATGAGGCTTCTCTTATTTCCCTTCTCCGTTACACAGAGCAGATTTGTCATGACCCTGTCAGAAAATGTGTGAGAAGTACGCGGTTGTGAGAGAGCATGTTTAAAATTAAGAATCGTTTTCATCATCAAACCAGCATCAGGTGATGATGACTAAAAAAAAAGAAATAACTAACTCATATACAGTGTGATTGTAATTTTTCATACCCTGAGGAAATTTCTGATTTTTGCAGAAAATGTAATGATTACAAAACAACTTTTCACTGGTATAGTATGTTCCCGATAACATGCATGATAACAAGGTTTCATGGTTTTGGATGAACCACTTAATTTTCCATTGGTGGATAAAAAGCTTAGTTTCTGTAAATGTGTACAAATGAAATTTCATTGTTTGCACATGCAGACTTTCCTGAGGGTCAGCAACACAGGAATTGAAAAGTGATCAACTTTTGTCGCTGCTGACGCTACCGTGTTCTGTATGTTGTGTTCACCCAGAGTGAAGGAAACTTTCGCCTTTCACTGTCATTCGTTGCTTCTTGAGCCCGTACAACAGACTGAGACTGTTTCTCCAGGTTGGTCTTGTCTAGTGGTCAGGGTCTATCCTTTAGATCAGACCCTATTTACAGGTTTGAAGAAGTTCATGAAATGTAATTTTTTTGGGAACAACCAAAGAATTTCTAGACGGGTGTAGAAAAGAGAGTAAAAAAATATCTTCTGTTCTAATCACTTTTCCAAGAACAGAACAGCAATTCTTGAACTAAACTCTATGAAAACTCCAATGTTTGGTGCCTGTATGAATTAAAAATAAGCTGCCGCCACAAGAGAAAATTGAATAATTCATTACTAGCTTAGAAAAAAATAACTACTCTCAGATCTGAGGATGTGAGAGTAAAATATATCAAAATACATCAGGGTAAGTTAAACCTTGAGCCAAGAGATTCGAGCTGACAATTTTGACAGTAAAAGAGCTGCTGCAACCCTGACATGTTCAACTGCAGATTATTCAGTCCAATAAGCTCCTGATGCCGTTTTATTTGGAGACAGTTCGCTGCTCTGGTGGACATTAGAAAATTATTTTTGATAAGCAGACGAAGTTCAATTGTTCAGTCAATCAGACGTTTTCAATTGTTGTGTCTGACTCTTGTCTGTGAGTCATAAAACAGAAAATACAAATGCATCAACATCAGCATATTTTAGTTATTGTCACAACATAAAAAGGGGCAACCATTGAAAATATGTAATAGCTTTTCAGGTTGTTTGTTTGAAAAAAATCCTCGTCAGTGACTTTCAGAGTAAAGACTTCAAAAACCTGCAACCGCGGCGCAGGACCATAAGGCTTGTGAGACAAACTGTATCGGTCAGCGTTTGACCTCCGTGTCCCAGCATGCTCGATCGGCTGCAACCCGTGATCTGATAAAAACTGAGAGTGAGCACTAAGCGTGAATGCACACTGAGAAAACGGCAATTTAAAAGGTGGAGCTTCTAACAACGCCACGATAAGAGACATAATATACACAATTTAACCGCTCATACAAACAAAACGTTACGTTTTAAACTCATTTATCACTTTGCTGCCTCTAGTGAGTATTGGCATACTTCCAGCTCTCCTTCAAGCAGTCACTACCAAACACAGTTTGGTGTGAATTACTTGCCAACACCCAGTTAGAATCTAATCCAATTCACTGATCCCGGTTCAGGACCCAAATCCAGTTAAATCACAGTGGGTGGTTTCAAACATTCGGTGCTAAGCCGCGCCTTTTAGAGCCAGGTATTCCCACACACAAAAACAGATTAGCACTCCAACACAATGGAGGAACGAAGCTCTTCAACAACACAATCCTCCTCACATTTACTCTCCTGTCAGTTGTGCTTAACCTCGTCCTCCTCCCCTGCTGCTGGGGTTACTAAGCTGAACTGATCATATTGATGGCACTGCTTGTTGACATTCTTCTCATGGCCGTGGTTAACGAAAACAATTTACAACTAAGACATCGATGAGCTTGGCCCAACGCCATCGAAGCCAATGCTAAAGCTATTAGGCCATAGTTTTGAATGTCCATGACTGCAGGGTAGAAGGTTTGAAATGGAAAAAACACAGAAAGATGTAAATAGATCCTAAAAAGACAGAAATGCAGATCATTTTTCAGACAAAAGTACGACAGCATGTTCTAATTGTAACACGTACATTGCAGCCTTATTTCGCACTTACCACGGGTGCTTACACATTTAACAACATGCGCGGACATCCGTGGTAACAGGGAGAAAGAATGGCAAGACGTAAACTGAATAAAAAAATTAATCTTTGAATACACACCAGCAGTGATGCAAAGCTTTTCTGATTAAACAGAGAGTCAGTCTGAAAAGACGAGATAAGAGAACGCAATGTGTTGTAACGACAACGCTTAGCTTCAGTGGTGGCGTTATGCACACATCTATCAGCAGAAAGGCAGCCTCTTTTCCTGATCAAACAATTTCAAAAATTGAACTGAACAAAAGCCCAGAAAGTCAAAAAAATAGTCAGATCTTTTGGCTTTTGATCGCTGTAAAATTGACAGATTACAAATACAGACTTTCAGAAAACACTGAACAGACCAGAGACAGAGAATAACCATAGAATAGAATAGAATAGAATAGAATAGAATAGAATAGAATAGAATAGAATAGAATAGAATAGAGTGGAGCTGCTATCAGCTCAGACTCAGTCAAGACTTTAACTGTATTTTGACTCTAATTTGTTTGAAGCAAATTATTTTGTTGTTCTGGAGCAACATTGGCAGCAGGACAAAGATTCATGCCCTGCTGTTTGAAAACATAACTAATTAAATTATATTTTTCTACCTAAAGCCTTTCTTGAATTATTTTTCTTTCTTTTTCTTTTGTACATGACATAAGTTAATTATGCTCCTGACATATAATGTGTGACACATAAATACTTTACCCACAGCCTCTCGTATACAGTACAACAACATGCTGAGTTTTGCTAGATGTAGTAGTGGGGAAAATTGAGCTTTCAATAAAGTCATTTTTGACCTTAAGTCGTTTTGTTGCACTTAATGGAAAAAATATGTTCCTGTTTTTCTACAAATATGCGATGATAAATATTAGTCAAACTGTTCACCAGACTGCAGACCTGAAAGAGCATAAAATACTACATGTCTTTGCAAATCACAGAGCCATTTTTGCTCTCACAACAGCTGAATTAAATTAGTTACATGACCATTTCAAAAAAAGGAAAATTTGTTTTAATTTTCAAAGAGTGGATGCATCTCCACTCCAACAAAACCTGAATCAAAATACTGAATTACCTTCTTGGCATGTCAGCAAGTTTTGACAAGACTTGTTTATTAACAATTTATTTGCTTCAGGGATGTTGGGGCTGGAATTCATCCAGAAGCTACAGGACAGAGTTACTGACCACTGATCTAGAGTTACTGCTTGGCTTGTACTTTTTCAAAATTGATAGACATGTGTCTTATTATCAGTGCAAAATTTCTTCCCCTTATTTCCATCTATAAATGTACTATTCCAACTTGAATTCATACAGTGAATGACAAAATCTTTTAATCAACAAAATAGTCACAGTATAAATGGCAAAGCAATATTTAGGTCTTTCAGTTTATTAACTGTCTTTTGGCTCAGTGTTTGCTAAAATCATTTCTAATGCTGATCTATAATTAAAGATTTTTTTTGCTTTGTCCTTTACACGAGTGAGTGTGAATTAGATCACTAATTATCACAGCCGTTCTTTTCATTTTTAAGAGGTCCAGCTGTTTAAAGTCAGTAAATGCGCCAGCAACAAGTTGAAGACTTCAGGATTAACTGCAGCCATAAAATAGTTGCATAAAATCGATTCAGAATTCAAACTTATGCAAACATAACGAACCAAAAAAATTGCCTTGTGTTTGAAAAATGACTTTATGGTGTAACATGTTTGAACCGGCAGCATTAATAGAATCATATTGCGTAACTGCTTTGTGAACTGCTGTGAAATGGGGTTCATCACATCATCCAGGGTGCTGTGAATCACACTGAGTGCCAGCCAGCGTTTCTTTTCATCATTTATTCACCATCGCACCGCAGACCTTTTACAGGCTTGGGATGGCAGTGTGGGAGAATAAATGGAGGCAGAAAGAAAGAAAGAAAAAAGATGGGTTTTGGCTGTCAAGTTGAAAGATAAAAAGCATTTCTCTGCAGAGACAGAAGGTGTGTTGACAAGCACAGAAAGGGATGAACAGGCATTGAATAATAAAATGGCTGGTTAGTTGCTGTCTGGTCTTGTTAGAAGAAAGCTGGATAAGGTCTGTCACGGCCTTCTAGATAAGAAGGTGATGAGACTGAAAGCAGGAAAAACGGTCAACAGTGAGAAGAGGGCAAACACACTGATGATGTGATGGCCGAATTGTGAAGAGTAGAGAGCTGAGAGTAAAAACAGACATCAGAGGTGAAAGGTGAGCTGGGATAGAAGGAGAGAGAAAGGATGTAGCCGGTCTCAAACGTCTGAATTATCACAACTAACAGAGCGTTTTGCTCCAGACCATCCCTGTCCGACATGAGAGT